AGAATGAGAGGGATAAACAAAACACCCGTTCGTCACGGGATATCGTCAAATAACGAAATTTTAAAAATTCCATCTTGACAATGATGCACAAGTCAATGGGCGTATTTGCTTATTTACAACCTTAGCGGTTGCTGGTCTCAAGCCCAGATGAAAAAGGAGCGTTGGAAACCGCGGCGAGGTCTGCGTAAAACTTATACACCTGCATTTCATGGTATTGTTGTCATCAAACATTGTACCGGCTGGGTCGTCCGGGTTAAAAACGGCCGCGCAGGCTAATGGGGGACTCAGACAGGCTGCGAAAGGTTGGCGATCAGAACTTGCTCATCGACTTCTGGCAGCCAGAGGCGGAGCAGAACGACAAAGGCTGCCGAATGTTGACAAAACGACGAAGAAGAGAGCAATCAGGAATGGAATTGCAACCCGTTCTGAACGAAAGAGGAAGAAAACGCGATGCTCCTACAGCACGTCAAAAAGACTATACAGGAACGACATTGCAAGCGAGAGCTTACAGTCGGAAATTGGATTATATCTTTACACAGACGGAAAGAGCAGGAGTTAGGTAATGAGGCGCCGCAAGGTACCAATTCGACATAGCTAGATTCTCGTGAATGAATCGCCAAGGTTCTGGAATCCTGAACCTGTGCGGGTAAAGGCAATTCTGTTCAGGTGTTGGCGTTCTGGTAGAACCCAACCAAATTATAGAATCATAAAATGGAAGCCTGTTAACGGAAGAGTGGCAATCCTTCAAATGAAGCTACAATCGGTTAAAGAAATCACCTTGTTAAAGGTCCATGCGCACAGTTTGGAGAGAGAGAGAGAGAGAGAGAGAGAGATAGAGAGAATATGAGTCCGTATTCGAGGAAGTGGACTAGGTTCTGCACGAATTACCGGGTAGAGAGTTCCTCCGTTCTTTTAATGGGCGATTTTAATACACATGTCAAAGCATGTCAAAACAGACACTGAAAAGTGGAGACATAATGGGAAAGAACAGTCATAGCAACCTTAACAATAATCACTTGAACCTTTCGTGGTTCTGCGTAAACAACGGACCGCCTATTATGAATACATTCGAGAATCGAAGCATGAATCCGTATAGCTGGTACAGAGAAGCTTGTGCATAGAAGTCGATGATTCATTTCATAACCATGTCGTCTGATCTACGACGCTCTCTAATGGATGTTTGCGCTTAGAGAGGAGCAGAGCTGTCATTCTGTCATCACCTTGTTCTTGGCTGTGAAAAATGCAGTAGTACGTGACGATATGGCGGCAGAAGCAACCAGAAAATCAAATGGGAGACACAAAGTTCAGCGGAAACGAAAGCGAAGCTTGCAAACACCATCACACGACGGTTTGAAAAGATCCCGGTGATAAGCAGTGATGCGGAAACAGAGAGGTAGCTCTTAAAAGCGTTGTACTTGGAGCAGCCTCCAAATGCTGCGAATTCAAACTAGTTGGCCTGCTGCCTGGAAGTCACAAATAATCTTCATGGTGGACAAGAAAGGTACAACTGACAATCAAAGTAAAGAAGGCGTCATTCAAGAAATAGCTTAAAGGCAAAGAGCCCTTAAATCGCATAAGGTACTTAGAGGCGAGCAAGGCGGAAACGAAAGTAGTAGTGAAATCCAAAGCTAATTGCTAGGAGAAGTTCAGTGAGGTGTTGGAGTCAAGTTTCCAGACAGCAGACCATTCGCCGGCTCCGAATCGAAAAGAAGGGCAGTCTAAGAATCTTTAAGGACAAGTTTGGACACTCTTTAACCGAGAATAAGGACATTCTTCAGGAAAGGACAGAGTACTTTGAGGAACTCCTTAACCAGGAGCAACCGCAAGAAGAAAGACTCGTCTGTAAAATAGCAGCGGTAATACTACGAACATTAGCATTTTCGTAGATGAAATCAGACAAGCTGCGAAAAGGTTGAAACGTGGAAAGGCTGCTGGAATTGATGAAATCCGCCTTGAGATACTCAAATTAATACGCGAACATGGCATGTGCTGGCTTATACGTGTGCGATGACTACGGGAAAGACACAAGCGGACTCGAGAAACGAGAGTTGTAGTAACCCTGTTATAGAAGGGACACTACTATGAGTTGTCCAATTATCGGGAAAGTTCCTATTGAGACTTCCGGGTAAAATCTACGCAAAGCTGTTGCAAGTCAAGTGCAGCGGAATAACTGGCTCCAAGATAAAAGGAATGCAATTTGGCTGCCTACCCATTTAACAACACATTTAACCGGATATTAACTCTGCGCCAAATTTTTGAGAAATCTGGGAGTTCGCCCATTTGGTGTACATGTGCTTTGAAGACCCGCGCAACAAGCTATGCGTGTGAATGTGAACTTATGAGATAGACGGCCAGTTGTTTAAGGTCATCCAACCATTATATTCCGAGATTTTGTGTTGCGTTAGAGTAACTGACGTTAAGTCGAAACTTTTCAGCGTCGGCACTGGTCTCTGCCAAGGCTGCGTTCTGCTCTACATCTGTTTGCGTTGTATATGGATAGAAAAGTCAGAAGCAGCCAGGGCGACGAACGTACCAATGTAGGAGATGTAGAGACGAGAAAGTTGCTGTTTGCTAAAAAAAGCCTAGTGCTTTCTCGTTCTCCTGTCCGTAGCTCTCTAGAGATTAACGGAGAAACAGTGAGCATGTGAACAAGTTCAAGTACCTCGGTGTCGTGTTTACTGGTGTTTGAAAATTTGAGTAAGAAATTGGCTGGCGGATTGTAAAAGCCAGTGGTGTTCTGAATGAACTAGCCGAACCAATGTGATTAAATCAAAACTGAGTCTGAAGAAAAAGCTCTGAGTACAAGTCGACCTTCATAGCCATGCTTATTTATGGTCATGAACTGTGGGCAATGACCAAAAAACTTCGATCCTACGTACATGGGGCTGAATTAAGCATTTTGAGACGAGTCATTGGCTTTACGGGTGCCGTTCTAATAACAGAAATCCGCAAGAGCATTGGTTTAGAGAGGTTGGTTCTTCACATTGAGAAGCCACAGCTGCGATGGTCTGGACACGTGTTGCGAATGCCTCCAGAGAGGAAGGCGAAGCAACTATATTTTGCCCAGCTGACAGACAGAAGGCCCAAAGGATGGAGAAGATTAATTTGATGCGAATGTATGAAGGGAGTTTGCTCTAGATTGCAGTTGTCTTCTGCCGAATCTGAGACTCTGGCACATAACCAGGAACGTTGTAAGGCACTGTTTGATGGGGCTGCCTGCGAGACCATAAAAGAGAAGTGGCTATGGGAGATGAAGATTGTATGCTAATTTTAAAGAAGACAACGAAAACACAAATAAATGATAAAATCCAACAATCATGAACAGCTTACCGCCCTCCATATTTTCTTCTTCAGGTGCTGGAGAACCAACGGATGCGAGCATTTCATAATCCTCTGACGACAAATTTCGGCTACAAAGCATAACAGGATGCTAGTAACTTAGTCAAGTAGCCTATTGTTTAAAAGTGCGACTCACTTATGATGAACGATTAGCTTAAATTTGAAATTCTGCATGAAATCGTCACATTGCAAGTTGTCACCATCTCTGATAGACAGTTCAGCGAAAGTTTTGTCGTGGGTAGCTGCAAAAGTACACGCCGTTAGCATCGCAGAGAACATGACAATGACAAAACAACAAAACCTATGGCTTCTTCAGGATCACTCGATATGATGATAGAGCCGAAATTGTCAAAACGATGAACGTCCGGAGCGATCATGTTCAAATGTCCTTTAAGAACCTAAGAAAAGAAATGCCGGTTACAATTAACATACAGCAGAACACGGATCGTTGAGTCAAGTCGTGTTAATAGCAAAAACATTCTCTAAGACTGCTAAGCTTACTAAATAATATTACACGAATTTCTTTGGACGGCATTATTTTACATGAGTAAAAACCACCGACATAAAATACAACTGGAACAAGAACGAAACGTACAACAGGCTGAAATCTAATTACTCCTGTTTAACATTTAAGCATTTTCGTTTACTTGTCTTCCTTTGCTCATTGCTAAAAACGATAGCTTTATAATAAGTGACAAAAAATCTAATCAGGGCTAGGCAGCTCTTTTCTAGACGTTTTAAATGAATTGCTCCAACTGACGAATCTTTGGACTGTGAATGCAATTATTGTATTTCCTCCAAGTTTCGCCAAGTCATCATGTATTTAGTCAGGGTTCTGGCAAATGATGATTGTTCAAGCATGCGCTGGTAAATGTAGTGCTTCAGCTGGTAGACCTTGTTCTCATGAACATCAATGTTTGTACAGTGAATTAGCAGTTCGATGAAACTTTATATTTACGGTAGAAGAGCGACAGAATTGGACACAGACGATGAAACCGTCTTATCTGGACGGACCATCTTAACTGACACAGACACTCAGTACTTGATGACAGAAAAAACTATCTCGTTTACCAGCAAAGCCGAAAAACCAGACATCGCCAAACCGAATCGTCTACCAGACTGATGATTATAGAAAATCTATCCAGATTTTCATTTCTAGAGGCCATATCGATCAGTATATGGAACTGACAAATCTACGCCAAAAACGTAGCTATGACAAACTCAATAATGCCCTTCCCGTTTACATTACGTATTTAGTATTTTGTCACATTTTTTTATAATTGCCTCTTCGCTCTTTTCTGACGTTTTTCTTTTTATTATTGAGCAGGTTATCAGTTTTTCTTGTTAAGGAGTTAAACAAATGAAATATCAAATCATATTTATCCCACCCTGGCATAATATCAGGGCGCAAAGTCGCAAGGTCGAGCTTATACCCTTAGCTAATTTCTATGTATATGCCCACACTATGCATGATGATTAACGTATTTAATGATTTAACAACGTAACCAAAGCTACATGCTTATTTCGGCAAAAGGCTCCAATTTTTTGTCCATGCTACACTCCCAGAAGGTATGTACTGCAACATTAACTGATTTATCCATTTTCACGGTCCGCTAATCATTTAGAATTAGTCTGGGGCCGCAGCATCAGGAGATCTTCTCTAGTCTAGATCATAGCTGGAGAAAATGGAAGAGTTGAATTTTAAAGCGGGACCAAGTGTTCGAAATACCTAATTCCCAGTTTGCCGCTAGGCTGCATGCCACGTGCCACAGCGGCTTGAATCTGCCAGGCACTTTTTTGGCATCAAGAATTTCACTAAGCACTGCGACGGAAAGATAAAATCAGCAAAAGCGAAGTAAAAACTTCAAAGCCAGTTCGATGTGCAGAACCTTCACTAAATGATTGACGTTTTCCGTACAAACAAGTGAATTCGTTCTAACGAAAGACCGGAACAAGCAAAGGATCAGAATTATGCCAGATCATACTCGAGTATATTGCACATATCATACAATAATGTTTGAAGCTCATAGCGATTAAATATTACTATACAAAAGGAACTTAAAAGAGGGAGGATGACAACGGTTAATAGTTAAAGGTATAGGGATATGTGCATTCTTTAATGTATGCAAACTGCTACTTCGCCAACGAAACCATGGCCGTCATTGAAAAAGTAATTACAACTGCGATACAAAACAGATAATTGTTCTTTGGCCAGTACGAGCTGCTTTATCATTTTACACAGATCAACCATGAGACCTTTCGTTTGGGCACCAAAACGGCAGCGATATGGATAAAAGTGTTTCGCCTAATGCTCTGGTACTCAAATTATTCAGTTACTTCTTATCAA